TAGATTTTTTTTCCAATTTTGATAAAGAATTTGGATGTAACATTGAAGCAAATATTGTTCAGTTTATTCTTCTGCATAATATATTTGTTGTTGTTGTTGTTGTTTTTTAATTCTCGTTCAACTGTATATATCGTCACAAACAAAACTGCCCGGTATATATAAATATTAACTATATATATATTCATGTAAGTCTGGTAGTCTAAGAAATTTATAAAAAAAAAGTTGTAAAACATTGGAATACAAACAACTTTTGCCAAAGGGTCATTTCGAAGCTCAAAACTAAATCCGATGAGGAAAAAGAACAAAGTCAATTTTTTTTCTAACTATAAATAATAATAATAGTAAAAGAACTATGTTTTATAACATTGCAATACAAGAAATTTTGGTTCATGTTCTTGGAAAATTCCCAACAAGATTCGAAGGAAAAAACTAAAAACAACTCTGGTGTTACATGCTCATACGAAGTTGTTTCCTAAAAGTCGTTGTCTAACTTATATTAATTATATTCAAGCAATGTTGTATTCGTACACAAAAATACGTGCATGTTATTTCTGTTGAGATCTAATTTTTCCTTTAAGTAAAAAAAATATTGTTATTCATTCTAAGAAAGGTCAAATGCTTTGTTGCTTTTGGAAGGTAAAGTTGTGACATTGTTCGTCTGCTTCATCGAGAAGTGGTTGCGATTCCTCCTCAATTTCAGGGGTTGTATACGAGTGACGGGCATTAAATTACCAATCAAGGTTGCTCCATCCAACAAGATGTCAGACCTAGTTTGCTAGAGCATTGGACTTTCATGCTATAAATGCATGAATGAATTTTAGTAGGGCCAAAACAATAAACAATTACTGACGCTAACCATAAATTATTTTTTTGCTCAATGCTACGATAATTTTTAGACTAAGTTGTTAAAAATATATATAAGGTATGTCCGGTCTGTGTAACACAGTGAACGTGTTCAGAGTTTTTTCGAACGTTCAAATATATTTAGGTGTTCGGAACGCCTCCCAAACGTGTTAAGTCGAACATGTTAAAAAATAAAAAATAAAAAACATAAAAATAGTTTTTTTATTTTTAACTCGAGTTTGATTACAAATTTAAGCATACCTCTAAGACAAAAGTTGTTTGTATTGTTATTTTACATAACATATATATTTTTCAGGGTTTACATAACTCGTGTTTGGTCTCGAACATCCGGGTTTGGTGTTTGAACCCGAACACGATGATACACATGTTTTTCTTATCGACATGATCACAAGTTGCCTACTCGATGATTCAAGTGAGTTTTGTTACGACCGACTAGTCCTGTATTTCTCATTTTATCTTAAAGTAAAAATGGTTGTTGTTTAGGCGACTTAACTTTTAATATAATAATTTTTATGACGCAGTAAAATGTTTGATCTTAGTTTAGCCGCATTGTAGCGTCTCTATTGGAGTTTTGACTTGAATAGGTCTTTAGCCATATTATTTAGTATCATCATGTCTTTTCCGTAAAAACTTATCAGTCGATAATTAAATCACATTAAACGTTAAAGTTCTAAGTAAATACCCTTGTAAGGTTTTTTACTATGACAAAAAGACCATCAAACATCCTTTTGAACATGTGAAGATAAACAAATATACATTGCTAACATTTATTATTGTTATGATATTATAAAAATTAGTGTTTAAAATATAAATTGTAGATAACTTAAGTCAATGAATATGTTGGTTAAGCCTGGTATCACCAACCGTTAGTACCAACCTGAACTAAAGTGGTTTGAGATAAATTTACGGGTGTGTATCTTGTGTGTATCCTACAAATAGTATAATTTAAAAAGTTTGGAATATTAAAACCCTTAAACAAAGTCTATCGAAAAATTCTATAGTTGTTAACCTCGAGATATTTAGTCAACTTATCGCATAAAATCCTACTCACCTTTAATACCCAAGCTCTACAATGAAAGTAAAATTCAAGAAACTTACTTCTTTGGACCGTCCCCTTCGTACGAGAAGATAATAATTTTATTTTATTTTTTCTAGCTCTTTCGCGTCGTTGACATCGATGTGAAACTCCCTCGATGAAAAAAATCGCAATATTTGTTCTTCAATTATCAACAACGATACTTAGTTTTCGTTAAGATTCATGCAGAAATACATGAAGAAGTGTTCATTTATCAATTGTCGACATTATTTTTTAGTTTCTATCCAGACTTATAGAGCCACACAAAATGTCGTGCATTAATGGTTTACTCAAAGTGCTTAAAGGAAGTCAGATGGCTTTGTGAGGGGATCCGTTCAACTTCGATGAAGTTGTTACCATTCAGGAAAAACGACAACGTTATACTCTCAATAACCATAGCAATGACTATGATGGATGATTGAATCGATAGTAATCTCAGAATTATCGATAACCATCGTGTTATTATTTTGCCTAGTGCAAAATTAGCGTAAACCTAGCACAAACCCCCTCCCCGTCCACACGTTTTAATCGATTTTGGGAACAAGGATTAAACCTCGTTTTGTTTTTTCTTCCAAAGTCTTATCGTGAGACTTGTGAACTCACCGTTTATTTATTTATGAATAGTTACATGGTGCGGGACATGCAACCAAGGGACGTGTATTATCGTTAAAGTTGTCTTTGTTTTGATTCATGAAGGCATGAAAAGGAGGAACAACCGCCCTAATAGCCCTGATCTATATGTGACCATTTATGTACCCTGGATAGCTCCTTAACGCCTGCATTGAAGTTGGGTAATGGTCCCAATATTTTTTTTGGTTGTTTGTTGAGGTATTCATTTTGTGAAAAACTACACTATATTATTTCTCAAAATATTTTGCCTTTCACGACCTATCTACTCCCAAGGCTACATAAAGTGAACCTTTGTAAACATGACAACATTGCATATTGAAGAGAATATTACATGTTGTCCCTTGCCATAATGGTTAAGGGTGCAAGGTTGGGGGCACGAGTAGGGGTCTGGCGAATATAGAGATTGAGCATTTTGCCTGTATATGCACCTTTCTTTTCATCACCCTCTATCCTCCATCGAGTAGCAACAATGTCTAAACCAATATTCTCCCATGCATTGCACACAACCCACTTACGCTCAAACTCACATCCGTGTTGACCAAAGACCCTACTAATATCGATTAGAGGTATTAAGCGAACTGTTAGAGCTGGTTGGCTCTGAGTGTGCCGTAGGCGGTCATGGGGCTCGAACCGATAACCTCCTGAATGCCACTTGGTTGCCTAACCAATAGAGCTAAGCCGATGAATTTTGTCGAGGTATTCCCGATGCTTTTTTTTTTTTTTAATAACAAAACTATACTATATTAGTATCAATTTTTTTTTTATCTTTCACCACCTGTGGTACTATTGGTGCCAATCAACAGAGATAGATAGCTTGCTCCCCCTGTTCAATATTGATAGGGTTTGGGGGTATCACGTGTGTGTGTGTGTGTAGGGGGGTGGGTGGGGGGCTGCATGTGGCATGTTAGAGAGTGTTGGGCATAAACACGGCTACTACTTGATGGGGAGGTGGGAAGTAGATGGGTGGCGCGACCACCGACAAAATGCTCAGTCCTTGCATTAACCGCCCTCCCCACGCTACTCCGTGACCACCACCGATTAGGGTGGGGGACAACTTGCATCCGATGTAGTCATTAATGCGTCGTAAATTTTCGGGGTTGGGGTACTGCAGCAAAATGGCTGGAGGCATCAGCCACACGAAGGCCCTCGCTGGATCTTTTTTTCTTTGGCACGCAGGGTGTTTCCAGGTCGGAAAAATGTCGGCCAATGGTACTGTTGTGAGAGTCCCCTGCATAGGCTTAGGAGTCGTGGTAGGTAGGTAGCGAAAGGTGAAATTGAGTGAAGAATATAGCTTAGATAAAAAAAAAAAAAAAAAAAACTCCCAAGTCTATATAGAGTGAACCCCTGCAAGCATAGCTTCTCATAGTGAAGGGGATATTGCATGTTGCCCCTTGCCCGAGTGGTTTAGGGTGCAGGGTTGGTTAGCAAATGGGGTTCCGCCATTTTGCCAGTCCCTCACCCCCCATGCTTTTTTTTTTGAAAAAAATTGTTTTGGCTGGTGGCGTCAGCCTTTCAGGTCCACTACCCCGGGCCGCCGAAACTTGCAGGGCGTTAACGACAACGTCCCGCGGCCGACATATGGGCCAAGTACGGGTGGATTAAACCACCAGTACTTGGCCCATACGTCGGCCGCGGGCGTTTCCCCTTGCCGCGCCGCAACTGATGGGCTTCGGGCTACCAGACCACAATGCGTGGATGCGCCAGCCAAAAGGAAACCGAAACAACGCGGCAGCGCCTCGGCAAAACTTGGCACGCAGGGAGTTTCCCGGCTCAGCATCAATAGCTGGGCCAAGTACTGCATCTACGTAACATTTTCTCTCAAATTCTGTGGCCTTTCACTACCTACCTACTCCTAAGGCTATATAGAGGGGACCCCTGCAAGCATAACCACCTCTCAAAGTGAAGGGGATATTGCATGTTGCCCCTTGCCGTAGTGGTTCAGGGTGCAGAATTAGGGCCGCCATTGGGGGTCCGGCTAGCGAAGACCCAGCATTTTGCCAATAGCTTGTTCCTTTTCATCGTCCCCCACCCCTCATGGGGTAGCAGCAGTGTGTAAGGCCAACACTCTCCCATACACCTCACACAACTCGCTGACGCTCACACTCACACCAGCGTATACTGATCAGAGTTATCCAGCGGACTATCATAGCTGGTAGGCACTCTCGATTTATGCGGACTATCATAGCTGGTAGGTACTCTCGATTTATGCGGACTATCATGGCTGGTAGGCTCTCTCGATTTATGCGTGTCATCCTTGCGTAGGGGCCAGGCACTGAATAGAAGTTTGTTTTGTGCAAAAAAACAGAAAAAGAAAAAAGAAAACAGGGGCATAGACTGAAGGGGGTACGGGGCCTCTCGCCGATGTCTGGCATTCAGGCGAGCACAAGCTTTGAGCTGCTTGCGGCGCAACTGATTACTGTGGTTACTTGGAGCTTTATCCGCCACTGATCTTCTTAGGCAGCTCGAGAGAAATGCGGTTGGTGTTGTAGCGGGCAGCCGAGGCTCCACTGAAGCGGGAAACAGTGGCGCAAGGTGTGGATGATTGAAGAGGGAGCGCAATCTCTTGCCCTCTCGCCTCGTGCAAGCCTGTTTTGAACGGCGTGGACGGTGAACGGGAGTTGCGTACCAGGGCAATTTTTTTTTTCGGCTTGGTTCTTCCCACTGTTCATTCTCTTCGTTCTAGTGTCTTGGCGTTGCGTTGTTGCCTGCGGTTCTGTGTCTGTCCGTTTGTGCAGCACTGCAGTAGGCAGGAGGAAGAGGAAGCGTCAAAAGGATCAAGAAACTCCAAAGAGGGTGGTGTATGCTATCGGAGTGAAGAGGAGATGGCTGGCATGCTGGCCGCCAGACTGTACCGAAGTTCGGCGAGCAGGGCGTATCAGCCGTCTCTTTCAGTAGTGGGAGGATGGCGAGGGTTTCGGAATTTGAGTGTAGGCGAAGGGAAAGAAGAGATGGCGTCAATCGCGGAGGGTGTAGTTCGCAAATTTGGTATTGGTAGGCACATGCAAGGTGTGGAGAACGCGTCGGCGAATTGCTTGGCTTCGTCGTTTATCAGGCACTGCTGTGCCGCGGCTGGGGCCCGAGGTTACAGCTCGAAGGCCGGTGGAAGCGATGTGATCGGAATCGACCTCGGGACGACGAATTCGTGTGTGTCGGTGATGGAGGGGAAGATGCCACGCGTCATTGAGAACGCCGAGGGAGCGAGGACAACACCGTCGGTGGTAGCGTTTACTCCAAAGGGCGAACGATTGGTGGGTATGCCTGCCAAGCGTCAGGCTGTGACGAATCCCACGAACACTCTCTTCGGAACAAAGCGGCTAATCGGTAGGAGATTCGACGACGCGCACACGCAGAAGGAGATGAAGATGGTGCCTTACAAAATCGTTAGAGCTTCGAATGGCGACGCATGGGTGGAGGCAGGCGGGCAGAATTACTCGCCCAGCCAGGTTGGTGCCTTCGTCCTGGGGAAAATGAAAGAGACAGCGGAGGCTTATTTAGGGAGAGCTGTTAGCAAGGCAGTCATCACTGTCCCCGCGTATTTCAATGATGCACAACGTCAGGCCACCAAGGATGCCGGACGCATTGCAGGCCTGGAAGTATCACGAATCATCAACGAGCCGACGGCGGCGTCGCTTTCATACGGTATGGACAAGAAGGAGGGATTGATTGCGGTTTTCGATCTCGGTGGAGGAACATTCGATGTTTCCATCTTGGAGATCTCTGGTGGCGTTTTCGAGGTCAAGGCTACCAATGGTGACACGTTCCTTGGAGGGGAAGACTTCGACAATTGCCTTTTGAACTACCTGGTTGAGGAATTCAAGAAGGAGCAGGGAATTGACCTGAAGGGAGACAGGCTCGCTTTGCAGCGTCTGCGGGAAGCGAGCGAGAAGGCGAAGATAGAGCTTTCCTCGACGCCACAAACGGACATCAATCTACCTTTCATCACTGCCGACGCCAGTGGCGCGAAGCATCTCAACTTTAGTTTGACGCGCTCCAAGTATGAAGCGCTCGTCGGGCAATTGCTGGATAGAACAAAGCAGCCTTGTAAGGACTGCCTCAAAGATGCGGGAGTGTCGGCGAAAGATATCGACGAGGTCATATTGGTGGGGGGCATGACGAGGATGCCCCGTGTGCAGGAGATCGTGAGCTCAATTTTCGGTAAGGATCCTTGCAAGGGTGTCAATCCGGACGAAGCGGTGGCCATGGGCGCGGCGATCCAAGGCGGCGTCCTTCGAGGGGATGTCAAGGATATTCTGCTGCTGGACGTGACACCACTTTCGCTCGGCATCGAGACGCTTGGCGGTGTCTTCACACGACTTATCCATAGGAACACTACGATCCCAACCAAGAAGTCTCAGGTCTTCTCCACCGCTGCGGATGGGCAAACGCAGGTAGGTATCAAGGTTTTGCAGGGCGAAAGAGAGATGGCGGCGGACAACAAATTGTTAGGTCAGTTTGACCTAGTCGGTATTCCACCCGCTCCACGAGGAGTCCCGCAAATTGAGGTTGGGTTTGATATAGATGCGAACGGAATTGTGAATGTGTCGGCGAAAGATAAGGCGACGGGGAAGGAGCAGGCGATCACGATTCAGTCGTCAGGAGGACTGTCGGAAGCGGAAATCAACAAGATGGTTCAGGAAGCGGAGCAGTATGCGCAAAAGGACAAGGAGAGGAAGGAACTAATCGAAGCTAGGAATGTCGCGGACACGCTGATTTACTCCACGGAGAGGAGCTTGAACGAGCATAAGGACAATCTTCCACAGGACGTCGTCGACAATGTGACGAAAGCGATATCGGAGTTGAAGAGCGCGATGGAGCGGGACGAGCTCGAGCGGCTGCAGGCCGCCATTGACGCGACTAGGGCGAGTTCCCTACAGATTGGAGAAGCCCTCAACAAGCGGGCGGGGGGATCGGGATCGGGTTCGGCGGGCTCCGCGGGTGACAAGGCTGCGGAGGCCGAGTATGAGGAACCGGGTAAGGAAAGCAGCAAGTGATTTCTGTGATTTATTTGTTCCTCGTTGTTGCCCCATGTGTAGGCAGTGGTAGATTGTGACCCTGTGCTCTGAGATCAGGGGGAAAAGTAGAGAATGGGCAGCGGTGGGTAGGCATTACCTTGTCTTGAAGGTGCACGAGGTTTAGGGTTTGCTGAAAATTGTGCCCATTATTGATTTGTTGACTTACTAGAGTAAGGCCATCGTCATTATCGTGCCCTACGGTAATAGGGAGAATGTGTCTGCCGCTTTTTCCTGTCACTTATCACTGGTTGACGACGCGAAGAGGAAAAGTGGTGGCGTTCGGTCAATCGCGAGGTAACTTATGTAAAAGCTTTGCAGGATAGGCGAACGATTGACTATCTAGAGTAGCGCGTCAAGAGTAGTTGCCGAATTCTCGTCAGCTCTTTTACTCAGCGCGCCGTGGTCAGTAGTTGGGGGAGTGAAAGAGGATCAATGTTCTGTGCCTTGTGTGTGTGAATCCCTTTCCATTCGCATGGGATGGTACGCCGAGTGACAAACGACTCTTGGGTACATTGTGCTGCTTGGGAAGTGGCCGGTTTTACTGACAGAACTGCAATGGTGTGGATTGCACCGGAAAGGTCGACCGATCTGCGGGTTGTAAGTGCGGGTTGATGATCTGATTTTGAGGCATGAAGTGCAGTATCCTTTGTTTTCAAACGTCGGGTCACCCTTAAGAATATCTCAGGAATTGGACTGTACATAGTGCGCCACTGTGGCGTGAAATTTTGTATCGGCGAATGGACTTCTTGAATAGGAAGAAGCGAATATGGTCGGAGTGCATGTCACGTTGAGATTTTTACGGATTGGGCGGCCACTTGTAGATTCAGGAGCGTGCGGGAAAACAAGTAGAGGTTATGATGTGAGTAGGTCGTCTTCAGATCGGAATCATGGACGGGTGTTCACCAACGAGGAGAGCGGCTGAGAGAGAATTATTTGAAGAGTCCTCTTTAACTTCTCCAGAAGGAAGATGTTCTTTGGATCGATTTTGGCGCGCTTTGTCATTCTTACCAAACTGGTACGTTGTATGTGTATTCCTTGGTTATTTCCCCTCTTGCCGGGGTCTCAACAGCGCTGTTTGTGTGCATGCATTCCCCGCTTGCCAGGGTCTCAACAGCGCTGTTTGTGTGCATGCACCGCACTTGGCAGGTATTTTCTGCATCTTTTTGGATTGTCCAGAAAGCGGAAGTCGATGAACTAACTCTGGTGTCCGAGAAGCAAGCACGGACCACCGGTTGTTTTCTTTAACTCGGGTGTTGTCTGTAGTTTCTCTGTTGCCTGTTTTAGTTTGCTGCTTTTTGCACAGCTGTAGTGGACTTCTGTGGTATTCGTCGCGACGTTGTGACTTCGCCAGCATAGAAAATGACCAACGCGCTTTTTGTATGTAATGTTGTATATGTATGTATGTTTATATTTATATGTTTGTTAATCTCTCTATGCACTCCTATATGTATGTATATGTATGTGTATGTATATGTATGTATACGACATCTGGGATTATCTTTTATGTGTTTTTGGCGTTGGTGGTGTCCCAGTATTTTAATTTAGACCAGCGAAGCATCAGAAAGACTGAAGCGACACCAGTTTTTGCAACAAATAGCAGCCAGTTTTGGCAACAAATAACAATAATTGCAAAGGATTCTTGGATTTGACGCAGAGTCGCTGGCGACGTTATCTAGGATTGTTTATGTGCAGGCAAGGGTGTTTTGAATTCTGGTTGGTCTTGTCCCGTCGTTTGGCCTGTGACGGAAGGGGCGGTGCTTGCATGCGGGACTTGTCATCTAGGTTTTGTTTATGTTTGTTTCCCCCTGTTTTGTTACATTTGGCTGTTCCCTTCCTCTTTCTTTGCCTCTTTGCCTTTTGGCTGTGTGCAAATAGGCCGATATGACACACGGGGGTGGGGGCCGCCGCCCCTTAACCTACATGCATGTGGGCGGCCTTGTGCGCAAGAGGTTTTGAATAGGGGGAGTTATAGGTAAGAAAATTAAAAAATGAATTGATTATTTCTGTTTTTTTATTTTGCTCTTGCGCTCCTGATATATTTGTGACGATGTTTGTATATACCTGTATCGGTAACGAAAGTCTGTTGCAGGCGCCGTTTTTTGTTTGCTTCCTGGGGTAACTGTGCAGTTATCCGATTTGTCTATATTCATGTATACATGCTGCATGACGGTATATACGACATGTATACTTTCCGCCACGGAATTGGCAAGAGCAGCAGGAAACAATGGTTGGCGAAGGGGGAGAAAGCGAGTGGGGATGCACCTTCCCGAGCGTCTTATTCATTTGTATGTAATGTAGTTCAGATATTTATGTTTGTATGTATACGTATATGCATAGCTATATGCACAGATGTATAAGTAACTATGTATCTTTATGTATCGCTGAAACTCTGACGAATGTTTATTACAGGCCCCGGTTTCGTGTCCTCTTCCAGTTCTCTGCGACGGTTTGTCTATGTTCATATATACGTACTGTATGACGATATATACATACTGTATGACGGTATATGAGACATGTATACATTCCAGCAGGGAACCATGTTTCAGAAAAGCAGCAGGGAACAATGGTCGCCGAAAGCGTATTGCTTTGTATATAATGTAGTATAGATATATATGTTTGTATGTGAATGTATATTCATAGATATATGCATCGAAATACGAGTATGGCCTTGTACGCAAGAGGTTCTGAACAGGGGGAGTTGTAAGGAAGAAGATTAAAAACGAATTAATTTTTTCTTTCTTTCCTTGTTTTCTTTCGTTTTTCGCTTCGGCGTTCTGATATCATGTGACAATATATATGTATCGGGGAAAGTCTGTCAAAGTCTATTACCGTCCTCCGTTTCTTGTCCTCTTCCTGGTGTAGCCGTGCAGTTCTCTGTGACGACTTGTATATGAGTCGGTGAAACTCCGCCGAAACCGTTTGTCACAGCCCCTCGTTGGTTGTCCTCTTCTCCCTCTCTGCCTACGGTTTACCGGGCAGCTCTGTTTGACGATATATACGTACTGTGTGACGATATATAAGATATGTGTACATCCCAGCAGGGAACAGTGTTTGCCAAGAGCAGCAGGAAACAATGGTTGCGGAAAGGGGAAAGCGAGGGGGGAGGCACCTTCCCGAGCAGGTCCGCTTGAAAGCAGTCCTTTCACATGCATTCGCCAGACCCGAATAGTCGTTCCCTCTTTTTTAATTTCAGTGTACAGTTCGGATTTGTATGACGATCTGCTCTTGCCCGAATTTCAGGGAATCGCATGAGCTCGTGTGCTGGGGTGCCATGTGTCTGCGGCCTGATTGATGGCCGCTAATAGCTCACGCGTCATTTGGCTGCACTAGTGATAATAATGAGTGCTGGTCAATTGAGTACGTCACGCTCATCATCGTGACGGAGTATGAGACGCCGCCTGAACACCGGATACACGCTCACATTGTCGCTCACCACTATGCGGTGGGTGTTTATCGTCAGAAGGTCACCATCGCTACTTTCCCCATGCACCACCATTATGTCTGAGCCCGGTTTCCCCTAATTCTCGACTTTGCCCGCCCCTGGTCTACCTTACCTGTGTGCTGGCGGGGCCTGGCAGTGACAGCCACGTGCTGCATTTTCACGGGAAGTCTCGCCATTGCTTTCTTCTAAACGAGGAAGATGAGATCAGAACTGAAGACCCAGCCCACATGGCTGGGGTATACCCATGGTTTGCACCCATGGTTTGCTGATAAACAGATCCGAGTTGGAATCCTCATGGTATCAGATGAGTAATATCACTCTGAATTACGAAGGGCCGTCGAGTTTGATGGTGATACCCGTCACCCTCTGTAGGCCCTATCTGATGCCGCCCTTCGCAGGGTCCACCCACCTCTGTAGGTCGAACCGGTTTCCGGCCTTCGACCCTGTGTTAGCCGCTGTGGCCGCTGATAGCTGGTAATGGTTCTGGAGGTTACCACCACTGCCACCCTCCCTTTTATAGTTGCGTACGTGTTAGACCAAAAGTCAGGTCTGACAATGGCAGCCATTTGCGTTGCATTTGCACCGAAATGTTTTCGACGGGTAACACATTTTTGTTGAAATTTTGAAAAATGTATCCCTTCTATAGAAGCAAATGCCTTAATTTCTGTGAATATCTTTTCAATTTTCCTTTTTTAAAGGAGAAGGAGAAGAGCGATGAATTGCTGAAGTTGGAGAATCTCGAATGTTTAGTCTCCTCTTTGGGGTAGATGGTCAGGGCACTGGCTCGCTGGTCAATTATTAAATCACCCGGGTTCAGAGAAGGCTCTGGACAAGCCTCAACACTGGAAAACTCATAATGGGTCTTTCCCGCTAGGCGAATAACAGGCGTGGCTTCCTTCTGCACGTACAGGGAAGAGCCGCTGAAGTTGCTGGTGGTGAGCGGACTGTTCAATATACCACTAGTGCCCAACGCGAGGTGTTATTTCCGTGTTTGGGACTCGGCCTGCGGGTTTAGAGGAGGCTGTGCACGAAACCTCAAGAGTGGAGGCGCTCCCTGTCCCTTTCCACTCTGTCATCACCTCCAAAAAGTACTCTCGTTCCGGCTCTGCCCCGTCTATTTCATCACCTCGAAAAAGTACTCTTTCGCTCTCTCTTTGACTCCCTTCCCCCCCTTCCCCCCCCCCTCCTCCGCCGGGGAGCCTCCTCTCTCCTTCCCCCGTTCAGTTGCTTGGTAATTCAGGCCGATAGAAACGAGTACTGTCCCCTCTTCCACAACCCCCTTCACCCTCCTTCCCCTCCTCCTGCCCTTTCCAGACCTTTCCCCACTCTACTTCATGCTGCCACGAAGCATGTCCCCTCGTGTTCGAGGTGATGCTTTTTGTTCAAGTGGCACAAAGAAGGACGGTCTCCCTGGTCCGCCTCTTCTTAAGATGAAACCAACAAGGAAGCCCCATACCCTTCTGCACCTCTTCCAAGCGACACAACTGCTTTGTTAAGAGGCACAAAGGAAACGCTGTGTGCTCGCCCACCTCTGCGCCTCAACTGTCAGCGGTTTAGCTAGAGTGCAATAGCACATTTCTATCGTAACCTGGCCGATCCTATTCTTCGCCCTGCCCTCCATTTTTCCTTCTTGCAATTTTGTTTTCCCTACTAGTGGGGAGCTGACATGTTGGAAACTGGGTCCGTCGCCCCATATACTTACAGTTCATCTCACCAGTCTCTTTCCTCCCTATTCTTTGTCGAGTTGGATTCCCAATTCCTTCCCTCTTGAGATCAGGGCAAGAGGGATTGACTACTTGGCCAAGGAGAAGGATCAACCTTGCCCCACAGTCCGTCTCTGATTGGAGAAAAGGGAAGCTCTCTGCCATGTGTCTATCTGGGGAAGAACTCTCCTATCTATAATCATACATATAATCTGTTCTCTCTCTCTCTCTTTCTCTTGCGGTCTGTCCCTGGCCCTCTCTCTCCTGTTTCCTGCCCCTCTCTCCTGCTCCATCCCCCTCTTCCTGTCCTCTCTCCCTCTTACTCTCTCACTCTCTCTCTCTTTTTTCACTGCCTCTCTCTGTCTGTCTGCACTTTCCAATCCCGCCTTCTCTTCTGGTGATTCCGAGCTGCACCATCGCTACTAACCACATTTCTGGCAATGACACGGGGGCTTGTTTTCATTCTCTCTTGCGTGATGTTGATGACATTGGCGGCAGGGTTACTCGGATTGACTCTTCCAGCGCTGCTGCCGGTTCCTCTGCTCACGTATAGAGTCCTTGGAATTCCTCAAGTCCTTGGGCAGGACTTTGGCACGCTGTTGTATGCTGCTAAAAGCATGAAACCTTACCTTCAGTTCACTCATCTCCAATCCGTAAACGTCTTCATCACGTACGCTTCTCATCATACTTCGTCTGTTCACCACTGTCCATGTTCGTAGATTCTTCAAAGCCATCCATCTTCTCTCTAGTGTATGCCGCCAAATTCTTCACTGCATCACTCTTTGTATCCTATTCCTTCTGATCGCAACTCTCTATACTGACAGATCTTTCAATTTCGCCATTGCTCTTCTCATCATGCCTCTTCTGATCAGAACCGACAATAACATCAGATTCCTCAATGTCAACTTCGCTCATCTCCTCACCTCTCTCCTGTTCACGCAGTCATCAACAGCACTGGCCTGTTGAATGTAGATAGCAGCTCCAACATCAGCATCATGGGTTTTAGCTTCATTCTTACCATCCTTTTCTGAGCTGACTTGTTGATCCTGATGACCTTCTCTTTTTTTCTCATGTGCACTGGTTTCTATATCTTGAGGTGATGCGTGTGGTGGGAAAAGGGGGGAAGGACGACATTGCCCAATCATAGAGTCCCATTCTAGGTGCTGGCCACATTTGATACATCACCTCACCTTCTCGCCACCTCTCTTATCATCCTCATCCTCCCCATGGTGCCAAAAGGATGACGTTGCCCAATCACAGTCCCATTCTCGCTGCTGGCTACATTTGAAACACCACCCCTCCCTTATCATCCCCATCCTCCCCATCGTGCCGTCACCGAGTGTCGAATGCTTATCTTTATTGGTTTGTTGGTTTTGTTGCTCGTCCTCCCTTCTCTTTTTTTTTGTTTTGTTTTTTCAAAACACAAGCTTCGGTCTATTTGTGGGGAGCAGCACGTGTTGGGA